CCCATCGTATTTGGCACGAAAAGCTTACCATTCTTGCTTTTTATTTTGGGACGTTTAGGAGTTATATGACACTGTTTTGGAGAAGCTGGATGTCTGCAGGCAGTATGACCCATTGGTCTGTGAAAAGAGAAAACCTGTTCCTTTGAAGCTGTACACTCCAAAAATAGTGAAATTGTGAGTATCTCAAAATGGACATAGATGTCATGCATGGCAAACTAAATTTTAAAAAAACAGTTCAACTGACAGTTCTTTTATGTCCTGGTGGCCTGATTTATGCTGTTGAAATCCAGGTAATGCAAAGGAGAAATGGTTTGACTGTATCCAGGGTCTCATTCTGCTGCTGAAAATTTATTTGAAGCATCAATACCATGTACTGGAAAATTGTTCTTCAGAATTCTTTATTTCTGTCATTAGAAAACAAATGACAAGGAACAGGTTTTATAGACAAAATAAAAAGGTAGAGAATGCTTTTAGGGAATACACTTCTGTTCACATTCTGAGGGTTATGAGATGAGTGCGTAATAAACTTCAGACTCACTGAATTCGTGAGGATGTTTGCCTTTGTAAGGGAGCCGGCGTGGTGGGGCGGCTAAGGGTCTGGCCAAAGAGCGGGGAGACCCAGGTTCTCATCCTCCCTGGGCACAGAAGGCAGCTGGGGGACCGCGGGCCAGCCACTCGCTCTCCACCCCCAAACAGTTTCGGGCTCTGGGCCCCGCAGTGCATCAGGTGTTGATGGCTTTGCAGCCGAGCTGGACAGACCCTAAGAAGAAGACTGCTTTAGTAAAACACCTAGATAGATAAAGAAGATAAAATGTGGCTGTGGAATTGCCTGTGGTGCTGTGGCCGATTCTCCAGTGGTTGTTCGAGCCTCCACCATTCGTTTGCCGATCGGGGAGAGCGGTTTCCCTTCCCACGCGTCTTCTTCCTCTGCGGTCTCAGGGAGCGTTCCGTCTCTGTCCTTCGAGTTCAGGTTGAGGCTGTTAGCCGCTGCCAGCGTTAGATGGCTGTAGAAGCCAGATGCAGGTTGCGCTTCTGTTCCTCTCCCTGCCTGGGCGGAGGGCAGCGGGCTCTCGCAGA